CAAATCTCACGACTTTCGTATCCCCGGTTTTTTCTCATCGTTATACTTCGCGGATGCTCACGTTTTCCTGATAACTGTTTCGTGGCCTGGGTTCACGACGTGCTGCAGAAGTGCCTCTGATGCACCGCTTGCAAACGCTTTCAACCGTATGCGAACCCAACCCTGCCCGGAATGCGACTTTCGTGTTCATGTTACATGCGCATAATCTTCGTGGACGCGACTTCGTGCACCAATTGAAGTAATTCTGGACGCAGCACACATTGCGACTCGACCAGGAATTTCGATTCGTGATGTGAACATGTTTTTGAGCGGAAATGAAATGGGTGGTGCGAGAGGCCCCAGCAAGTGACTTTTCCGTCACACGTGTTTTGGGATCTTTTGGTACTGCCTGGGACTTTTTGTATGTTTTTTCGCCACAAAACCTCCCCACCTCAAAATTTGGCTTCAAACTTTTCCGCGTGGCACGAAACTGTCCTGACCAGCCATTTCGTTCGTTGGGAATCAGGCAGTCCCTCTCCCATCTTCCCTATCTGCCTGAATCCCTCTCTCCATTTTCCGCACCCCCTCATTTCCCTCTCCGTGTTCCCCTCGTCCTATATCCTCCTCCTCCTCCACCTCCTTCTCATATCTCCTCCTTCTTTCCCCTCCTTTCCCGCCCTGCGTTCCCTCCTTTCCTCCCCTGCATCCCATGCTTTCCCACCCTACATCCCCTCATTCCCCCCCCCTGCGCCCCCTCCTTTTCCCCCCTGCATCCCCTCCTTTCCCCACCTGCATTCCCTCCTTCACGTGCTTGTATCTCATTCCCCCCCTTGCACGCTCTCTGATACCCCCCTGCTTCCACACATCCCCCCCTTGCTCACCCTCATTATTCCCCCCTCCTCTGTCTCATTCCCCCCCTCATCTTTCCTTCCCAGGCTCATCTCTCCTCCCCAGCCCCATCCCTCCTCCCCAGACCTATCCCTCCTCCCCAGCCCTATCCTTCCTCTCATTTCCCGCTCATTTCCTCCCCTGCTCCCGCTCATTTCCCCCCCTTCTCCTCTCATTTCCCCCCCATCTCCCTCTATTACCCCCCCTTTCTCCCTCTCATTTCCCCCCTTCTCCTCTCATTTCCCCCCTTCTCCCGCTCATTTCCCCCCCTGCTCCCGCTCATTTCCTCCCCTTCTCCTCTCATTTCCCCCCCATCTCCTTCTATTACCCCCCATTTCTCCCTCTCATTACCCCCCCTTTCTCCCTCTCTTTTCCCCCCTTCTCCTCTCATTTCCCCCGCTTCTCCTCTAATTTCCCCCCCTGCTCCCGCTCATTTTCCCCCCTTTTCCTTGTCAGATTATAATGTTTGTCTAGTCTGTAGTGGAAACTCAATAGTGAGTATAACCCTTTTGGGCTTGCTATTTGTATCCCTCTCCTTTCTAGTTCAATCACCTTTCTTCTCCTATTTCTCTTTCATATACCCTAAAACCTAGCCATGGCTTCTTAGCCTTAGCTACTATTTTAACATGGTATTCAGAGCAGGCACCTTCCTACTGCCTTCCTTAACGGGCCCACCAGTCTGCTTCCGCTGCCTGTCATCCTGCCGCGCGCCTCGGGCGCGCAGCGAGGCGCACGGCGATTTTCTGCCCGCCGTGTTCTCGGGACGCACGGCGGTTTTCTGCCCGCCGTATTCTCGGGACGCACGGCGGTTTTCTGCCCGCCGTGTGCCCCTGGCGCGCGGCGTCTTCCTGCCCCGCGCGTGGCCTGCCCTCACGCCGCCTGCGCGCCTGCCCCACGTCCGCGCGCGGGCCTGTTCTGCCCGGCCGTACCCTGCCCTTCGCGGCGCCCTGCGAGGCGCCGCTCCTGCTCGTCGCGACGCCCCTGCGGGACCCGTGCGTCGCCGCTCCTGCTCGTCGCGACGCCCTTGCGGGACCCGCGTGGCGTTGCCCTGCTCGTCGCGACGCCCCTGCGGGACCCGCGCGGCGTCGCCCCTGCTCGTCGCGGCGCCCCTTGGACGCCGCCCCTGCTCGTCGCGGCGCCCCCTGGGCGCTGTCCCTACTCGTCGCCCCCCCCCCCCCCCCCCCCCAAACCCCCCCTGCCCCTAGCCGCAGCCTCTGCCTCACCTGCACTCGCGCCTTCTTTGCAGCCGCGTGCGGGCCTGCCCTGCACCAGCGACCCCGTCCCTAGAGCAGCCGCCCCTGGCCTCTGGAGCAACCGCCCCTGGTGCAGCCGCCCCTGGACCTCTGCAGCCGCCCCTGGCCCCTGGAGCAGCCGCCCCAGCCGTGGAACGGAGGGTAAGGGGTGGTGGGTATGGGGGTGATGGTTGTGTGACCCGTCCCCGGTGTCAGAATCCCAGCCACTAACCACTGGGATAAAAGGGCTTGTTTGTGTAGCGGGTGAGTGCGCCCATAGCCCCCCAGGCCAACATGCCTGTAACCCTTCCCTAGGATCAATCGGGGATCACCAGTGGACCTCTGACACCCCCCCGCACTAGGATGCCCGAAGTGCACACACCGGGATTCGAACCCGAGACCTTCGCTCTGATACCATGTCAGAATCCCAGCCACTAACCACTGGGATAAAGGGCTTGTTTGTGTAGCGGGTGAGTGCGCCCATAGCCCCCCAGGCCAACATGCCTGTAACCCTTCCCTAGGATCAATCGGGGATCACCAGTGGACCTCTGACACCCGGCTCCTCCTCCTCCTCCTCCATCTCCCACTGCTGCAGCTGCCGCTGAGGGGGGTGGATGTGTAGGAGCCTTCGGAGTGGTGCTTTGGGGGTGGAGTGTGAGTGGAGCCAGGAGTTCAGCAAGGGGTGTGTGAAAGGGGTGTGGGACAGTTGGGGGAGGTTGAGCGGAGGCAGCAGTTGTGTCGCAAGCAGCGCCAGTAGTCCGGAGGCTACAATCTCCGGTAGTCGCCAGTCGCCCGTGGGTCCGTTGCTCCAGTCAGGAGGCTACAATCTCCGCGGAGCCAGTTACTCCTGTAGTCAGGGCCATTGCTTCGGTAGCCATTGAGCCAGCCGCTCCTGTGTGTCTGCAGGTTCCACCGTCGCCTCCTATCTCCTCTCCTCTCACGGTCATTCCTCCTCCTCACTTGCCCTTTGCGACTGCCTCTAGCTTTACTTGTGCTTGTGAACCTGCTATATGACTGCTTGCTATGCTGATTATACCCCACTTTGACTATGGGGGTGTGTCAGATTCTAATGTTTGTCTACCGTCATACCCCGGATAGAAGCGTCCCTAGGGTTGTAATAGAACACTTTTATTTAGGGGGTGCGCTTATAATTGAGGAAATTTATAAGCGCCGGGGCTTATATAATGACATATATGAAATCTAGTTTTTTAACACTAAAGTGTTCATCTCGTCCTTGCGATTTGAATCGAATCGAGATTGTAGAGGGCATTGACTGTGAATTTTGCGTAAATTGGCAGTGGCTGATTCCCTGCCAACACACAAAGTCAGAATGAATCAGATTGACCCCATGACACCTCATTCTGACTGGACGCGAAGGTATTGAGTCGCGCGAGGGGGAAGGGTTTCGAAATTCAGAATGTGGGGATGCAACAAAATGTGTTTCGTTACACCGATTCCAATAAAAATATAAAAATATTACAAAGGGTGGCGCTTATAATCCGTAAGCCTTCAGGGGTGCGCTTATAATCGAGGCCCGATATAAGCGCCCTCATCCTTTTATAAGCGCCGGCGCTTATCCGAGGCCTGCGCTTCTATCCGGGGTATGACGGTACCCTAAAACCTAGCCATGGCTTCTTAGCCTTAGCTACTATTTTAACACTCCTCTCATTTCCCCCGCATCTCCCTCTATTACCCCCCTTTTCTCCCTCTCATTACGCCCCCTCTTCTCCCGCTCATTTCCCCCCCCTGCTCCCGCTCATTTCCCCCCCTTCTCTCATTTTCCCCCCATCTCCCTCTTTTACACCCCCTTTCTCCCTCTCATTCTCCCTCTTCCCTGTTTCCCCTCTTCCCTGTTTTCCTCTTCCCTGTTTCCCTGTTTTCCCTCTTCCCTGTTTCCCCTCTTCCCTCTCTCCCCTCTTCCCTCCTTTCCCTCTCCCCCTCATCCTATCTCTTCCTTTCTCTCCCCCCCTCCCCCCCCTCTTACTATCTACTGCATCATGTTTTGCCATTACAGCCTATGCTTTGCACCATGACCTGTCCCTTATTGCGCCTCCTCCACCTTCTCTCCCTTTCCCTGGCTATTTCAATGACTACTATGAGGAGTTTTCATGCTTCAACTCGCCACATTCCATCATTTCATGACATACCCGTCGAGTGACAAACCAGCTCAAAAATTTTTCTCCAGGACACAAGAGAAAGGTTATATATATATATAACAATAATAAAAAAAACAATAAAAAAAAAAAGGGTAGGGGTCTTGCACTGCTATAAAAAATATTACACACTGGGCTGCATGTCTCCAACAATAATCCAATGCCATACTTGCATAATGTACTAGACACAAAAAACAGAAGGTGGTATAAAACATCCACTGGCTGCGGCTCCGCATCAACACTGCCAATAAGGGAGAGAAGATGCGAGGGCAGGGAGGAAAGGGTCGGGAGGTGGGAAGGCAAAGTGGGGAGATGGGAAGGAAGGGACGGGAGATGGGAAGGCAGGGCGGTGAGATGGGACGGAAGGGCGGGGGGATGAGAAGGAAGGGATGAGAGATGGGCAGGCAGGGGGGGGAGGTGGGATGGAAGGGAGAGGAGATGGGTATGAACGCGGGGAACCTGTGAATCAGGGCGAGGTCGCGATGGGCCACGCAACAAGCGACGATCGCGCGATGCTGCCTCCCCTTGTAACCTCGAGCGTCGGGCAGCAGCTCGAGGCAGGTGGCGAGGAGAAAAGTTGAGCGAAGGGGGAAAGCGAGTGAGGGAAAGCGAGCGAGAGCGGGGGAAAAGGTTGAGCAAAGGGGGAAAGCGAGTGAGTGAGAGGGGGGGAAAGATTGAGCAAAGGGGGAATGAGAGTGAGCAGAGGGAAAAATAGGTGATTGAGGGAGGGACGGGAAGGGAGGGAGGGTTAGATGTGAAAGGAGGGATGCGAACGGAGGGAGGGGAGATGGGAAGGGAGCGACGGGAAGGGAGGGAGGGGAGATGTGAAAGGAGGGACGCGAAGGGAGGGACGGGAAGGGAGGGAGAGGAGATGAAAAGGGAGGGAGGGGAGATGGGAAGGGAGGGAGGGGAGATGGGAAGGGAGCGACGTGAAGGGAGGGAGGGGAGATGGGAAGGGAGGGACGGGAAGGGAAGGACGGGAAGGGAGGGAGAGGAGATGAGAAGGGAGGGAGGGGAGATGGGAAGGGAGGGAGGGGAGATGGGAAGGGGGGGAGGGGAGATGGGAAGGGAGGGAGGCGAGATCGGAAGGGAGGGGAGATGTGAAAGGAGGGACGAGAAAGGAGGGAGTGGAGATGGGAAGGGAGGGACGGGAAGGGAGTGAGGGGAGATGTGAAAGGAGGGACGGGAAGGGAGAAGGGGGAGATGGGAAGTGAGGGAGAAGAGAAGGGAAGGGAGGGAGAGGAGGCGGGAAGGGAGGGAGAGGAGATGGGAAGGGAAGGAGAGGAGATGGGAAGGGAGGGAGAGGAGCTGGGAAGGGAGGGAGAGGAGATGGGAAAGGAGGGAGAGAAGGCGGGGGATAAGCGCGGGGAACCTGCGAGGCAAGGTGAGATGAGGTCGCGCTCAGGAGCGTGACGATGTCATGAAGGTGGGCGCGACGGGGCCGCGTGAGGAGTCCTGGCACTCAGTCGAATTAAAGCGCGGTGAGGCAGTCGGAGAACGATGGGAAGGGAGGGAAGGGAAGAAGGCGTGGCGGGAAGGGGAGAAGGCGTGGCTTGAAGGCGAGAAGGCGTGACGGGAAGGCGTGAAGGGGGAAAAGGGAGGCGGGAAGGGGAGAATGGGAGGCGGAAGGGGAGTAAAGGAGGCAGGAAGGGGAGAACGGTGGTGCGGCGAAGCGATGCTGCGACGGGCGACGAGGCGAGGCTGCTCGACGCGGATTGGGCTGCGTGCAGGGGCGTGTTGCGACGCCTTTCGGCAGCAATGCGATATTCCGCGTTATTCGGCCATGAGGCAGCAGTGGGTCGATTCCGCAAAAGAAGGGGCAGCGAGATGTCAGCGGAAAGCGACGAGAGTGCCGCGTAGGAAATTTACGTGAGGCAGCGAGTGGCTTGGCGAGGCGGCAGACATGCACGTGGCGAGAGCGATCATAGCCCTAAAAGCCAGCGACTGAATGCGCGTTTGGTGGGGTACGCCTAGACTGACTCCAGGGCGTGAGACCTAGATGTAAGTACTTAGTTATGGTCGCTTCTCGCCACGTGAACGGCCTCTAGCATTTCACAACTGGGCCGGCGAATGTCGTTGGCGCGTAGCAGAATAGACCGTGGTTTGGTCGAAAAATGACCTAACAGCGAGACGTTGCAACCACTATTATTGCGTACGGTAGTTATTCTAGCTGTGCACGCTGAGCTATGCTGTGGAGGTGGGGTTAGTGGGGAGGAGGATACTTTTGGCTTTCCATAAACTCTTGACGAGTCTGGTGAGAGGGGTTCTGGTGAGGGGTTGGAAACACGTCGCTCGTGACAGCAGTTGACTGGCCCTGTAATTCGGTTACCATCAATTCCCATTTATAAACTTTGGGCAAAGGCCCTGCCAAATGTATACTGCTGCTATAACAGCCTTACATTAGTTCAATTCTTGCTACCTCAATACTGTTATGAGTTTGTGTCTAATGTTATATCCTATTGTGGGTCATGCTATATGGGGTACAAACAGTTAGGGTTAGGCATATGTACCCCAACCCAATCAATGCTACTCATTCCGCTGTATTCTGTTTCTGAGATGGTATCAGCAGTAGGTTAGCCGTTCCTAGGCCACGCCCAGTATCCGCCGTTCCTAGGCCCCGCCCAGTATCCGCCGTTCCTAGGCCCCGCCCAGTATCCGCCGTTCCTAGCCTTCGGCCGTCTCTAGCCTTGGCGTACCTTCCCTCCTCCCTGTCTGCCCTATTCGCACTAGCCAGCCCGTACGCCAGCGCCCTAGCCAGCCCTCATGCCAGCGCGCACGCTAGCACGCACGCCACCGCGCACGCTAGCACGCACGCCACTGCGCACGCTAGCACACACGCCAGCGCGCCACGCCAGCGCGCCACGCCAGCGCGCCACGCCAGCGCGCCACGCCAGCGCGCACGCCAGCGCGCCACGCCAGCGCGCACGCCAGCGCGCCCCGCCAGCGCGCACGCCAGCGCGCCACGCCAGCGCGCACGCCAGCGCGCCACGCCAGCGCGCTACGCCGACGCGCGCGCCAGCGCGCCACGCCGACGCGCACGCCAGCGCGTCACGCCGACCAGCGCGCCGCGCCGCCCGCAGGCCAGCGCGCCGCGCCGCCCGCCAGCCAGCGCGCCGCGCCGCTCACCAGCCAGCGCGCCGCGCCGTTCGCCAGCCAGCACGCCGCGCCGCCCGCCAGCCTGTGCGCCGCGCTACTCGCCTGTCCGCATGCCGTGCCGCCTGCCCGCTTGCATGCCTGCGTGCTTGCTCACACGCCTCTGACTGTCTCACCCTCCCGCGGCTGGCAGCCGCGTTCTCTCACTTTCGCCCCCTATGGCGACCTCCCGAGTTCTTCGCTTTGACCCTGAGGGGAGACCTGTTGACTTTAGTACGTGGCTTACGCAGGCGCAGCGCCACCTTAAGAGCCAGCGGCAGGATGGCGTGCACCTGTTCGCGCACGCGTCCGGCACTCAGACCGCCCCTCCGCAGCCTCAGCCGCTGCCCACTACCCCACCGCCTACTTCTGAGCAGGAGGCCGACTACCAGCGCCAGCTCCTCGCTCGCGACGTGTGGGAGTCTCGTGACGCCGCTGCCTGCCTCGCCCTGACCGACCTTCTTCCGCCGACAGAGGCAGTCCACTTCGCTCAGGTCGAGTCTGCTGCAGATCTGTATAAGGCTATTGTTGCTCGCTACTCTACTCCCTCTACCCTGCGTCGCTCAGTCGCCTCCTCGTACGTCCCTCCTCCTTTGAGACTGTCTCTGACCTCGCTACTCACCTGCGCTCCCTTGACGCTCGCTTTCGCGCTGCTTGCACTGAGGACCAGCTTGCCCTTGCCCCGCCCCCTATGTGGCTTACTATTCACTGGCTAGTCACTCGCCTCCCTGACCGCCTAGCCACAGCCCGCGACGCGCTTCTTCTGAAGCACCCCACTGAGCTTACCATCGATCTTCTTGAGACTGCTCTCTCGAAGATCGAGAGTAACCTCCTCACCGTTGCCTCTGCCTCTTCCGCGCCTCCTCCTCGTCTTTTTGAGGGGTGCGCGGTACCACAGCTTCCCACCTTCTCTGCCTCCCTTGCCACTCCCACGTCTTCTGCCTCTGAGGAGACGGCGGCTGTTTCTGTCTCTGGCGGACAGAAACGTGGCAAGGCCAGCAAGAAGGGCGGGAAGGGCGGCGGGGGTACTGGAGGTGGTGCGGGTAGTGGCGGTGGCGGTGGAGCAGGTGGTGGGAGTGGTGGTGGGGGTGGCTCGGGACCTGACGGCCCTCCTTTCGACGGTGGAGTTTTCACTGGTGGTGAGGGGTTCCAGCAGCAGCAGCAGCCGACTCCTCAGCAGCTGCCACCGCCTGGACAGCAGCAGCGGCAGGGACAGCAGCAGCAGCAGCGACAGGGCCAGCAGCAGCGCCTACCGCAGCAGCAGCCTCAGCAGTGGGGCCCTCCGCAGCAGTGGGGCCCTCAGCAGCAGTGGAGGTCTGCGAGTCCCCTGAGCACTGGGCGCAGTGGCGCCCCCTCCAGTCGGGGACCTCGCGCGGCCGGCCGCGACGTTGGTCCCTGTGAGTACTGGATCCTTACGGGTCCTCGTAGGGACTCGTACTGTGGCCGCCCCGACCACTCTGCTGCACGCTGCTTCAGTCGTCTCGACGACCTCTACCTCTTGCACCACGGCCCCTCCGCTCCCCCGCCGCCGCGTTGGGGGACACTTCTTGCTCGTGGTATTGCTGTTTTTGATATGACTATGGATGATGCTAGGTCATATGCCATGTATGCTGATGTTGACTATAGTGCTCCTGGATCTGTGTACTTGCCTGTTGCTAGAGTAGGTGCTAGTGTAGGATCTTGTTTAGCTACTAGTACAGGTACTCCCTCGGCGGACGCGTCTCTCTCCTTCACACTGGACTCAGGAGCGTCGCACTGCTTCTTCCGCGACTGCACGACTCTCTCTCCGCTACCGGCGCCTGTCCCTGTAGCACTGGCCGATCCCTCCTCGGGACCGGTCATTGCGACTCACGCCACTACACTCCCGTGCCCAGCTGCTCCTTCTGGTTCCCTGACCGGCCTCCACGTTCCTACGTTCTCTAGGACCCGGGTTGGTGTGAGCACCCTGGCGAGACAGCACGTCGGGGTCTGGGTTGAGCCTTCTGGTGACACCGCAGTCTGCGTCGACGGTGACACGTACGCCCCCTTGGCCACTTTCCGCCAGGAGCCGGGCTCTGGTCTGTACACCCTCCGCACCGACCCCCGTCAGGTTCCCCCGTCCCACCAGGTAGCCGGGTCCAGTCAGGTTGCTGTGTCAGGTGTAGTTGCTGCGTCGTGCTCGTGTCGGTCGCTTGCCCACCCCACCGTTCTGTGGCACCACCGGATGGGGCACCCGTCCCTTCCTCGTCTGCGCGCCATGTCCAGTCAGCGTCTTGTCTTAGGCCTCCCCCGAGTCCTCCCACCACTCCCGCCGTCCCCAGCTCCTCCGTGCGGTCCTTGTGTCCAGGGTCGGCTTCGCGCCACCCCTCACTCCTCCTCCCTTCGTCCGGCCACCGAGCCCTTCCAGACACTCCACTTAGACGTCTGGGGCCCCGCCTCCCGCCTTGGCCCTGAGCGAGAGAGTTTCTTTCTGGTGGTCGTTGACGATTACTCTCGGTACACCACCGTGTTCCCCTTGGCGAAGAAGTCTGACGTGACTTCTACGCTGATCCGGTGGCTCCTCGCCACCGAGGGCACTCGTGGTCGTCGTGTCAGTTGTCTCCACTCCGACCGTGGGGGTGAGTTTCGCTCCGGCATTCTCGCCAGATTCTGTGCTGAGCAGGGCATCACCCAGTCCTGGACTCTTCCAGACTCTCCACAGCAGAATGGGGTTGCTGAGCGGCGCATTGGCTTGGTCATGGAGATCGCCCGCACCTCCATGATCCACGCCCGCGCGCCCCATTTTCTGTGGCCCTACGCGGCTCGGTACGCCGCTCACCAGCTGAACCTCTGGCCTCGCGTCTCTCGGCCAGGGGCTTCACCGACCAGTCTTTGGACAGGGTCCCCTGGTGTTGCGTCGAGGTTTAGTGTCTGGGGCTGCTTGGCTCTTGTCCGCGACACCTCTGCGGACAAGATCTCGCCTCGCGCCGTCCCCTGTGTCTTCCTTGGTTTCCCAGAGGGCTCCTCTGACTTCACCTTTTACCACCCACCCTCCCACCGGTTCTTTGACTCTCGTGACGTCCGTTTCGACGAGTCCGTCCCCTACTACGTCAGGTACCCCTCTCGAGGTCTCCCGGTTCCCCCCCCTCCCCTCTTCCTGGCTCCAGCTCCTCCTCCTCCCGACCCTACTCCTCCGGTACCCCCCCCTGTTCCCGCTCCGTCTGGTGTGTCCCACGCTACTCCCCCTCCCTCGGTACCCCCCCAGGTCTCTCCTCCTTCCCCACAGTCGTCCTCACCGCCTCCGCAGCAGCCGTCGCCGCTTCCTTCACCGGCCACTGCGGACTCTGAGGGTGTTGGTGCTCGAGGAGAGGGCTCTGGCGGTGCTCGCTCTGGGGGTGCTGGCGTTGGAGCTGTTCGTGCACCTACAGGAGCAGCCAGTTCAGGGGGTGTTGGCGTTGGCGCTGAGCGTGCACCTGCCGCAGCTGCCCGTTCCGAGGGTACTGGAGCTGGTGGTGGTGCTGGAGCTGGTGGTGTTTCTGGAGCTGGAGAGTCTGGGGCTGGTGCTGGCGCTACTGGGGGCACCACGGCTGGGGGTGCGGGTACACCTCTGCTGGTCGTGCTGCCGCGAGGGGTCCTCGCTCTGGGGGTGCTCAGCCGGGTTCTGTCGAGGGCGGAGCAGGTTCTTCTTCGTCGTCTCCTGACACCACTCCTCCTCCTCACCCTTACCCGACTCGACACCAGGCCCGTCTTCGTCTTGAGCGTGAGGAGCAGCAGCGTTTGGAGCGTGAGAGGTTGGAGGTTCAGCAGCGGGTGGAGCGTGAGAGGTTGGAGTTGCAGCGAGAGCAGCAGCAGCAACAGCAGCAGCAGCAGCAGCAGCAGCAGCAGCAGCAGCAGCAGCAGCAGCCGCCGCCGCAGCAGCAGCAGTAGCCGTAGCAGCCGGAGCAGCCTCCGGCACCTGTTTCTGGCCTTCGGGCCCTTGGTCTCCCCTCCTCTCCTCCTGTGTTCGGTCCTACGTTTCCTCCTCCGGACTCCACTCCGGCTGTCTTCCCTCGTTCTCGGTCTCCTCCGTCCCCCCCTCCTCTCGCCCACACTTGGGCCTCTCGTCCTCCTCGTGCTCGTCCCTCGTCCCCTGTCACTGACCTCCGT